CATCGCCACCAAGTGCCCTGTAGTAGAAATATTAGCCAAAATATGCACTAATGATTATCTGAACTGGAGCATCACAAGAAACAAGAATATATTTGATAGACAACATACTGAACTTGGTTCATAGGACATGACATTCCTTATGATCTGAACCTTGTAAAAAGGAAAGATGTATTTACTATTACATCTGATCATTCTAGCACAGCGAGTACAACCTTAAGGTAAAGAGAGGATTCACAATGGAGTTGACAGATGCCATGAGGACGATCAAGAGTACAGAATCAGCCGGGCTACAAAGCAGTAGAGCAAGTCTGTGAATAGATGTGGCGCGCGTTGCCTGCCTGAGCAATTCGACAGAGTATATGTGCTGACAAGAAGAGAAAAGGAGGTGGAGCACCACATTACATAATTTATATTAGACTAAAGAGCAATACAATATCACAATAATTTGAAGGAGTAATTGCATGCCTAATCATGATCTCAAGAGATGTGACTCTGCACATGTATTTCTTTGATCATTTTTCATTTGAATAACCACGATCTTAAAATTACTATAGTTCGGTTTGATTATAATCAAATAAATCAACCAGCTATGCAAGTACGATAGTTATCTACAGATAGGCACCTCACGTGAGTCATAAATTTCAGGATAGGTACTTACTATATATTCTAAGATTGGCATGCATCTTGTTAGAACCAAGAAATACATGTATATATACGACAACAACTTGTGCTCCCAGGCGAACTGAAGCATGCTTATGCAGCATCAGGAATATCTAAATATATACGCTACTGAATATATACGATGGATTTACTCTAGTTGTCGTGGTAAAAAGTTCTAAACTGACTTATATTCTACAAAAATGCATACCGGATGTGATCCAGTGTGCTGTTGCAAATACAATTTTTTTAATAAATCATTTGTACATCTCTGACCTCTATGCTCTAGCCATGATTACTATGTAATTACTAAGTTCTTAACTTTCTCTTCATTTATAATTAGAACATGGCATTACTTTGATATATCCCCACCTTGACACGGAGATCCTAAAAAAATCAGGCAAATAAGCCTAAAAACAAAACAGTGGTGAATACCTTGAGAAAAGACTAATTTGACCCTTGTATCAATCAATAAACCAAATTCTACTCTAGATGGCCACATATTGCCCATTCATAACTTTTATAAGGTGTATTGACCCGGTAACCGACTTTTAGTTATATTAGGTACTGAGCATTGGTCGATGCAACATCAAAGAGCAAAATTGGTTCCTTAAATAGAGAAGCTTTTTAGAAACTTCACATGGAGAAAGCAAGGAATTTAAACCATGCTGCCAAGGTAAAGCATCCGACAACGCAAAAGGGACAACATAATCCAGAACAACGATTGTAAGCCATATTTTTTAATACAGCTGAGCCTAGAAGGGCTATTAAGCTAAGTTAGAAATTGTAGTCATAAGTATAGAGCAAAAACATTAAAGACTACTAAAACCAAGGTATAGTCAACCTACCGGATAATTGATCTCAAGTTGGTTGTCCAGGAACTGATTTGCATCAGGATGTGTGCCGCCTGTCCAGGAAGTGATTTACATCAGAAAGCGCAATGCGTAGTGCCTGTGTAAGGCAATGGTCAAGCGTCTCTCATAGAAGGAGCTGGTTCAACAGAATGCATATTTATAATAATAGTGGTTAAGTAAAAAAGCATCAAGATTTGATAGGATAACTGATTTGCACCAAGATTCATTACATTCCAAGAGAATGGCACAGTGGTAGCCCAGGATAATCGATTTGCATAAAGATTCGGTACAAAGCAAGATTTACAATATACTAAAAGCAAGGCATAATGATAACACAGGATAACCAATCTATTTGTTTCTACTATGGTATAGTAATATATTTTATAGTAGACCATTGTGCCGGCGGCCATGCTTTTTTTGGAGACTAATTATGTGGAACTTAGAGAATAATAAATCATAAACAGACATCTTCAGAGACTAACCTTGGGTCTAGCTACTTGTCGACATAAGGATCACTGGAGGTGACTTTGTTAGATGATGTGCCGACAACCTGCATACAATGATTTACAGAGAAGGGGATGAGTAAGGTTTGTTTGCTCAGGACTGTGCATCAACCAATCACCTAAAGTAATTTCAATAAATAAAAATTTACATATAGACCAAGATAAACGTCACGGTTAAAAAATACGTTGAAAATATATACATCAATGACATCTCAAAGCTCATTTCACAACAAAACTACTGTAAACTTGATATGGAAATGATAAACTTGCATCAAAATTTAAAAGAAAGGATATCATAGTAGAGGTCTTGTACCAAATGACATCCAGAAAGGGAAGCAATGTATGGAAATACAGAAAGTATGGCAAGAGATTAGTTATGTCGTCAGACAGCAAAACAATTGCCTATGGTTTTGCTAATGCTAATACATCTTGTTAGAAATCAAAGGAGGAAGCTCTATGTGAAATCAAATGTTCCAAAACTTTGCAATGGTAACAAACACCGAATACTACAAAAAATAACTGGGATCCGGTGTGTGTCTAGGCAAGCAGTTTTTTGTTCTCTCTTTTATACATAGTAATCAATCATGACACGATCCAGGTGGGAATTAGAGTAGAGCATGTTTTATTACATGGATAATTTAATTAGCAGGCTTCTAACCCATCATAGGATTCACCTATAGAGAGTCACTTTTGGGCTCAAAGAACAATGCATTAGCCTATTCCATTTACTTTTGACGTACCCTCTCATACTAACACAACATTGCAGCAAGCAAATAACCAAGGGAAAACATGCAAAACCAACCAGCCCCTTGTAGCTTGCATTTGATCGGTCCACTGAAAATGAAAGCATCCATTAAAAAGGAAAATGGTTAATGAAAGTGCTCCTAACAGAACTATACAAAAATAAAAGACGAATGTCCTTTTTATCTGACATCAAACAGATTTTCTTGTTGAGCTTGAGTATACATCAAGTAGAGTGCCCCCAAAGGAGGGAGAACATGTTTGTCCAACAGAAAATTCATTGGTCCAGCCATCGTCAGTTTGTCACTGTGCCTTTTTAGAAGATGGGGAACGCAAAAAATAATCCGTCCGATACAAATTGCACATGGTGTCATGGATTAAGTATGAAAATGAAGATAATATTGCATAAAAAACAATCCATCTTGTTATACTCTTTCAGTTACTTATATTTTTTTCATTAGGTGAAATTTTAACATCCTATAATCCTTCACTAAGTTGCTCTTCAATAAATACAAAAACTAATTCCACAAAATTCCTAAGCAGTAGAAATACTACTTGTATGTGCTCTAAATAAATGTCAACAACTCCTCTCTCAGGCTCAATCAACTCATATGCATGTTTTTTTCTTCTCATAGTCAGATGAATACTTTCAATATACAATCTTGCCAAATTAATAGCAATCTTGAAAATTAGCACACAAATATATGATACAAGATGATAAAAATCAAGAACACAGCTAGTTAAATAAAAAAGTTTAAGAATGGCATGAAACAAATGCACCTGGTTGGCTAGGAAATTAGAAACTGCAAGCTTTTTCTGCAGCTTACAAGTCATGAGCAGAAAATTTAGTTTCCCTTTCCTAATCCCAATCAATACAAGAAACTGAAGTGTAAGAAAGAGATATGTAATGAGGATTAACTTCACGAAGCGAAACATCTAACAAGACTACAAACAGATGGGATTTGAGTTCACGAGGAGGTTCATGGAATTGAGAAAATCCCATTACCTTCCTGCACTAATCACACCCAGCAGCCGAAAATCGCAATTAGACGGCGTGTACAAGGCGCCGTTGACCTTGGCATGGCTGGTTCGTTGCCAATTGGGGAAGAGAAACCAGAGAAGATCACGCGCATGCAGCAAGCCCCGGACGGCCGGCCCTGGTCCCTCTGCTCGATACGCTCAACCTCGCCACAATCTGCGCCATCAACAACACCAAGTGGTCAGTGCATGAAGATTAACCAAAGAAATTGAGCAGTGAACCAAGACAAAATTTGCCTGAGAAGGAAAAGGAGAAGAGGACGATGCAAGGCTGCACCTCATGGCCCGCGGGAAGCGGAGCCGCGCGTGGGGGCGAGCGAGGAGACGGAGATGAGCCGCCGGAATCCACCGGAGCCACGCTGGCGACAAACCGATGCCCAGCCTGAAACCCTTGCCACGACTCAGGGTCGTGAGCGAGCGCGAGAGGCCGTGCGCCGTGGATCTGGACGGACGAGAGGAAGAGGCGGAGCACCTGCCGTGTGCACGCGAGGACGACGGCGTGGATCCGGCGGGCAGGGCGAAGGAGACGGCGGAGCCAAAGCAGCGGCGCTTCCCGGCGTCCGGCCACCGAGCGGCAGGCGGCTGCCGTTGGGCTGCTTCTCTGAGGACTTGCCACGGGAGAGGAACAGGGAGGGGATGGTAGCGCGGCTGCGGCTGGTCGGTGGCGGCGGCGGACGGGGACGGCGGTGGCGGTGGCGGCGAGCGGCGACGGCGGTGGCGGCGGCCGGCCAGCGCGGGCCTAGGGTTTGGAGGGGGGAGAGGCGAGGCGCGAGTGCGGGAGGAGGAGGCGGCGCGAGCGAGCCGGCTAGGTCAACTCCACACGAGCCGTGGCCTTTTATACCCCTGTGAGTGAAATGACGAAAATGCCCCTGGCGGGGCAGGCTATTTACGCGTGGTGGCAGGAACGAGAGGTAACTCCTCCACCTATCGATCCAACGGACTAAAACGCATCAAGGAAGAGATCCAACGGTCGAGAGTGCCTGATCGCTGAGGAGCGTCCGGCATCCCTCCGGTTCATATCTCTTGATACGGCCGCTGCTCGACTCCATCAGTCCATCTTCTCCAGCCTCGCAAGCTTCTTCTTCTCCTCCCTTTCGGTCTCGGCTTTCCTTCCGACGCAGGCCGTAAAAAGGACCCAGCCGCTCGGCGCAGCGCAAATCATCATCTGATCGATCGTTTGTTCTGTGAGTTGTTGTGGCATCGATCCATGGGTAACCACCAGAAGCTGCTCCACTTCCTCCGGCCGGACCCGGCCGCGGTGGCCGCCTGCTCGCCGAGGTCCTTCTCCTCCTCCTCCGCATCCGTGTCGGACGATGACGGGTACAGCTGCTCGTCCTACCCCACCACGGACGGGGACGCCTCGCCGTCCCGCTACGGCGGCTCCTCCACCCCGCCCACGCCCAGGTCGCCGTGGGCGCACCTCCCGGGCCTCGGCGCCGGGGGTGATGTTGCCGAACCGGGGGCCACGGACCTCATCGCGTCGCTGGTCAAGGAGGACGGCCACGTCTACTCGCTGGCGGCGACCGGCGACGTTCTTTACACCGGCACCGACTCCCGGAACGTGCGCGTGTGGCGGGACCAGCGCGAGCTCGCCGGGTTCAGGACCGCCAGCGGCCTCGTCAAGGCCATCGTAGTGGCGGGCGACCGGCGCATCTTCACCGGCCATCAGGACGGCAAGGTGCGCGTGTGGCGCGCCGACGCGGACAACCCCGCCGTGCACCGCCAGGTGGGGTCGCTCCCGAAGCTCAAGGACTACCTCAAGAGCGCCGTCAACCCCACCAGCTACGTCGAGACGCAGCGCCGGGGGCGCCAGCGCGCGGTGTGGCTTCGGCACTGCGACGCCGTGTCCTCCCTCAGCCTCGACGAGGGCGCCGGGCTGCTCTACTCGGCCTCGTGGGACAGGACCTTCAAGGTGTGGCGCGTGTCCGACTCCAAGTGCCTCGAGTCCGTCAGCGCGCACGACGACGCCGTCAACACCGTGGCCGCCGCCGGGTTCGACAGCGTCGTGTTCACCGGGTCGGCCGACGGCACCGTCAAGGTGTGGCGGCGGGAGATGGCCGCGAAGGGCGACGCGACGAGGCATGTCCTGGAGAAGGTGCTGAGGAAGGGCGAGGGCGCGGTCACCGCCATCGCCGTGTCGCCCGAGGACCGCGTCGTGTACGTGGGCTCGTCGGACGGGCTGGTCACCTACTGGCACTGGGTCGACGGCGAGGCGAGATATGGTGGTGTGCTCAAGGGCCACAAGATGGCGGTGATGTGCCTGGCGGTGGCCGGCAACGTCGTCGTGAGCGGCTCGGCCGACCGGACCCTCTGCGTGTGGCGTCGCGACGGGGCAGAGCACGTGGGTCTCGCCGTTCTGGCCGGACACACCGGGCCCGTGAAGTGCGTCGCCATGGACGAGGAGGCCGCGGCCGCCGGTTCGGGCGGTGATCGGCGGTTCGTGGTGTACAGCGGAAGCCTGGACGGGTCGGTCAAGGTGTGGCGCCTGTCGGACGCGGAAGCAGAGACGGCCACGACAGTGCGGGTGACGGAGCGCACAGCAGCAGCAGCACCGGCGCAGCCGTCGCAGGTGTGGAGAGGCCAGCCGGCCCCGTCGCCGTACGCGGAAGCGTGGGCGCCGTGCCAGACGCCGGAGCTGAAGCGCGTGCGCGTGGCAGCTGCGTGAGGTCGGAAGCAATGGTGCGCTGGCCACAGTTCTGCAAGAAGGGAACAGAGCAGTCATCCAGCGGCAGGTTCAGGAGTGAGGAGCCATTTTGGACCCCTATTGGTGAAGGCCTCCTCGCTCAGTCAGCGTGCGTGCAGAGCAAGCATGTATGCGCTTCCAACAGTGAACCGGCCCGTCTTCTCATAGCGCCATGCATGGCGATCTTGCAACGCCTGAGATGATAGCTTGATCTGGCTGATGGCTTCCACATCATAATCTTGGAATAGCTGGTGCAATAGTGGAATGTTCCAGTCATTAGGGTTTGGTAAGATCAACTGATTTACCCACCTTTAAGGCCATCTGAGGGATCCAATTACTGCGCGGAAATTTGAATGATGCTCCCGTTCTTGGTTAAATAACCGCATATCCCAGAACCTCAATCCCACAATTCTTTTGTTTTGTTTTGTTTTGCGAGTAAGCATGCAGTTTTATCATACCATAGTACTAATACAATTACAATTATCCTAAAAAAACAATCTGCTAACACAAGATTATAATAACTCATTTAAAAAACGGAACGAAACGTTAGTTTTTTTACGAGCGAAACAGCCAGTCGAACGAAAACGTTTGGTATGACCTGCTGTTTTTTTAACATCAGTACATACGTAAGCACTCATATATATGCGTATACATTCATCCTTATAAATGTACATACGTACAACCTACCCCATATGAGCACCTTCGAGAGACTGAGTCGGTATGTCATCTTTAAATTTAAGACTGAGTCGGTATGTCATCTTGAAATTTAAGAAGTTGCCGTAGGCGTCTCGTCATCGACGGCAACGTCTCCTCTCACTGAAAACGCATCGCCGAAAATCCTGAAATAATGCGAGCACCAGGACTTGAACCCTGATGGGCCGAGAATACCACTGTCCCTCTAGCCATCCAACCACAGGTTGGTTCGCGATATCACCTGCTGTTGCTAGCCAACGATCATGCATCACTAGGCTTAGTGGGCTGGGGCCTTTTTCTGATGGGTCACATCTACTGGCCCAACACAATCAAGTTTATATAGAAAATTAATAAAAAATCAAAAGAAATTTGTATGCAAAAATAGAAAGCTAACATTGATTACATACGCCGTTGGTAGTAGTGGCCATGATAAACTAAAGATGGAAATCGTGCTCGGGTCCTTCCCACGATTGTTACTAAAACCACGGTTCTTACTTCCTAATGCATTCATCTCGAGTGTAAAAAAATTCATTATTTACCGTTAGTTGTTCTCCTTGCATCACGTACATCAAATACAAGAAAATACCATGCAACATATAACAAGATACCATGCGGCCATTTATTAGTTCACAATAACATTGTCTAATGGAGATTAAGCATAGTGATATGCAACAAAGTGAGTCAGTGATACACAAACTATTTATCTGAAACATGGCTTTATTTAAACATTATAAAAAGGGAATTGCAAGGTTACATCTGGCTGGCTACAATTAAAAAATAAAACAAAATAATAAAAATTGCACTGAAACTCCACAACTTACAGGTTCATTTCAAACAGAGTTGCTTTCCCCCCTGACAAAACTATCTGTTAACACAAGCTTGAGCATCAGCACATTCAGAAACCAAAACAGATAGGTCCATGTGTTGTCAGATATATAAGAGAGCCCTTGTTTCCTGTCTCCTACAAATTTCAAAAGAAGGGAGGAATTTTACCATGCCCCCCACACCCTGAACCTCTTACCAGAATATCATCCATATCCGGCTGCCTTCCCACGCTCGACCCTGCGAGCTTGCCTAACCATTTCTCTAGTGCATCTTTAGCCATACTAACCTTGCTGTATCCACATATAATTGTGGCCAGGCCGCTGAATGGGGTGTGGTAGAGCAAGGAGATCATGTCGATTTCCAACGCGGCCTTGGTGTCCATGAAATGATGATGTGTGCCCTGCGGGTTCTCCTGCCTGTTAGAGTCGTCCGCCTTCTGGTCCCTTGTCACTATTCGTCCAATGTGTCAATCAGTGACACTTGCACTCTTGATAGGTGTCGCTGACGTATCACTTTGTCCGTCTAGCTGCGAGAGTAGCAAAAGGTGAAATATGTTAGAGTGATGTTGTTTGAAGTTAAAGGGAGAATACCAAGTCGGTGCGTGACAAATAGCTAATAAATAGATGTTGGAATCCTTCGAGAAACATGGGATGAATTGGGAGGACCATTTGTTCAAGGAAGTGGAGTCAAGTGAACTGTTGTAGTTCGGCAAGTATTATTTTTAAAACCTTGTAGTCATGCAAGTAGCCGACCAAAGGTCCATATAGCAAATTCCAAAATTTATGTCACCTCAAAACCGAAATCATCAATTTTCAAAATCTGTGATGCATCACAATAATTCGTATTATACATAAATAGACCTTTGAAATATGATGAGCCTGCTTTGTAAAAAAGCCTATTAACAATTGCATTGATACTTCTAATAAGTTTTAACATAAGCTATGTATGGCGGCACAAATCATTGTGTACCTGATATATGACAGATACAACAAGGAAAGATGTGATAATGTAAGTTACCTTGTGAGGCAAACATGCTTCATGTTGACTTCCCTGCACTTTTCAGTATCTTCCTGTAAGTTAGGAAATTGCCTCTAAAAATGGTCAACAACACTGCATACAGAATAATGAAGAGTCAAGAGCATCAGTTATGAATGTTACTAGATAGACAAAATTATATGGAGAAAAAGGATACAATTAGATCACAGAAACCTAGCATATAGAAAGCTTATTATTTTTTCTGAGCCGTTCATGTAATCCTATTGAGGCTGAGGGTGGTATTAAAATATCTCCTGAAATATAAGTCCCTTGATGTCTTTGTTGGTAAACTTTTCCTCGTTCAAGATCAAACATAATTGGTTACATGATGGTATTCCCTCCACTTCCGCTAGACCATGAAAATAGGGTGAAACCATCAATATATGATTTTGGAACGTAAATACAAATGACGGTGAGCTGGTCGGATCGCTTAAAACAATATCGCAAAGATTGGATGCGTACCACTTGCGTGCTTGCTCGGCCCGTGACCTCAAGCATCATTTCTCGTTTGCGTGACTCTAGCCCCTGAGCTAGAAGTCACCTCCATGCAGCGGTCATAGACATGGCCGTGCAATGGTACAACCACACCGCCTCCCCGTCCCAATGTTCATGGCACCAGCTCACGCCAACTGCTACCATTGGGCATCTTATCTATTGGGATACCCCCTCATAACCTGCAAATTCTTTAATTTGAATCTTAATTTGACTGTAGAAATTCAAATATTTAATACATCTAGAGTAAGCTACAGTGGAACAAGCAACTGGAAGACGCAATTTACTCGTCAAATGCCTAATTATCCGGATTGGGAAATAAGATCAAAATAGTAATAAGGCAATAAATTTTCTCACCACTTCCAGGAAAGCAAAGTCCAGGTTCTTGCGTTCTCCATATCACCAGCCATACTTTGATTGTAACTTGAACTGCTGACGCTGCAGTATTAATATTTATCTCACTCCCGTGTTCAAGAAAAGGTAACACCATATCAATGCCATAACAACCTCTAAGCAAGAGAATACTCCAGTTTAAGAAAAGCGCGCCTGTTTAAAAAAAAGGTGTAAAGATTACACTGAAACAACTTGGAATCTCAGGGCGCCATCCCAAGACTGTCAATTACCAATTAAGCATCAGCACAAGCGAAATCTGCTTTGGCATAAACTTGAACAGTGAAACTCAATGATAACTCAAAATTTGTAATGCAACACCATATACTTCAGGATTGCACCAATGATCTAATTATAAATTCCAATTCACTTCTATTAGCCAGGCAATCCTGAACTATTTACCATGTCATCGAGCAGCCAAGGCGCACATTTAAACAAAGAAGCAAATATCATAAAAGCACTATATTTGAAGGCTGAAAATAGTTTATGAGTAGCGGGGAGAGGTAGCGCAACAAGGGGCACCAAGATCACATCTGCCTATAGTTGGAGTTATAGGTGGGTACCTCGTGGATGGGTAGGGCACCGGGAATGAACGTCTTGGGGAGGTAGAAGAGGACTAAGAATAGGCTGCCGTTGGAGAGGAGCAGGTCTAGCGAGAGCTTGGGCCGCATCTCCTCTCCCTCATGTTCTTCTTTCCTCCTTCCTCCAGACATCCTCCATGACAGGGTCTTTAGTGGACTGGTCGCGGATGGATAGTTCTGTGACCAGTGTCCTTGGAAACCCAACTTGAAGCGGCTCGTTGGCATCGTCGCCGCTACGACTGAGGTGGGGTGGGGAGCAAGGTGGAACTGGGGTTCGGGTGGGTCGAAGCTCGATTGAGAAGGGATTAGGGAGAGAGGAAGAACTGCCGATAGAGGGGTCGTGGTGACGAGGCTCAATGTCCGCCGCCGCCTCCACCGCCGCAGCTCGCTTAACTCTCCTCCTAGAACTCCGTCGTCGCCCCCACCGTCGCGGCTGGTACCACCACAAACCCCCTCCGCTCCATCGCACAGGCCGTGGTCATACCACCACGTCCAAGGGCGGTGCCGATCCCAACCATGGCCGCCATGCGGGCATGGCCAAGGAGGCGGCCATGGCGAAGTGTTCATGGGTGGGGCGGCATATAACAGATGGGGGTAGAGGCCTAGAGGGAGGTGCAAGCAAGGAAGAAGGGGCCATCCGGTGGAGAGGGAGGCGCCGGGTCATCGGAGAGGGGGCGTCCGAGGCGCTGGGTGCGGGTGGTTCGTGTTTTGGGGGAGGGAGGATACATATCTGCAGGTTGGGGGAGGAGGTGGAGAACGTGCGTTGTTTCATTGTTTTTCAGCTGTCGAACGTGGGCTTTTTCAGGCGATTCTGTTTTTGCGTGGATTTTCCAGTCGTGCGGACCATACGACGTGGGGAGGAAGAGTTGATTGAACCGGGTTACTTGCATCTGGTTTTCGGAGGGACTGAAAAAAAATCGGTGGGAGGATATGGTGGGAAGATGTATCGATAGCCAGAGGAGGGGG